CCGTCTCAAAAAAAGTGGTTTCGAGAAAAACGCGATTAAAGTTTTAAGTACTGTAAAATCGTATAATATGTTCATGTACCTTTAATCTGCGATGCCTGCACCATACAATTGGCCTTCTACATCGATGTCCTCCTGTTGCTTCTCCTTCCGAGCTGCTTTTAAGTCGAGGCGGGCCTGTTTTGCTCCATCGCTCAATGATTATTCTGCTTTTTTGATGCGGTTCTGGTCCACTTCCTGGCAAAACTGGAAACTTTTCGAGCCGATTGTCAAGCCCATGACATCATATGTACTCAAAATTGATATGAAGCCATCGTTAAAAACACATGTAGCAATATTGGCAGCAATATCAATTATTTTTTTGCCGGAATTCATCGATTTTGGAGCCATCGCCCACACAGTCGAGTTGAAACTCTCATTGTTATTTTGCACGTGATCAACGCATTCCTTTTTTATTACTGTCAATGTTTTGTAGGGCTGAGCATCGGTAATACCTTTGAAGGTTTTCGTGTCGCCATCGCCGATGTAACTTGCGTACTTTACATCATGTAATTCTTGAGAGCGCTGGAACATTTCAAGTACTCCATCGACCTCCATTTTTCCAGCGGATCCCTCGTGGTTCGCTTGGCATTCGCTCGCGTGATTTTCTGCCCATTCTTTGTATTCTTCGGTGTGTTCTTTCTTCGTCCAATGTTCACAGGCTTTGCAGTATTTTGATTTTACGATGACATCAATAATTTTGCCAGTATGCCAGCCGATAAGTGAAACGAGGCCATATAAAGATGCAAATCCGCGTTTACGCCATGATCCATCGCCCGATACCGTGATTCCGTTTTGTTCTCCGTTTTCAGCAGAAATTCTTTTTTCTTCTTGTGCTGCATCCGACATACTGCTCATGGAAACTACTTCTGTTGCAGACAAAATGTGTGAGATGATACTGTCATAAGTCGATTGAAAGACGGGGCGGGGCAATTCCATAAACGCGCAAAATTTTCTTATTCCTTGCAGACCGATTCCAAGCAATCGCATGGCAAAAATAATTCTTCGATTAATCTCGTAGGCATTCTTGACGTATGGGCTATTCGGTATTTCTTTTTTCTCGCATTTGTCACAGGATACAACAAGTTTAAATCCCAATCCTCGTTTACTGCTCTCTGTGAATTTCACTTCAGAATGGCACACTTTACACACAACGACGTTCGAAAGGGCAGCAAAAACTGTTACAAAATTGACGAAATGATAGCCGAACGTAGAGTCCACTTCAATGTCTTCAAAATCACGTTATTTCAATTTCCTCGCCGATGCGCTGACATTCAAATGTTCGGGCTTTTCTATTTCATGTCGATTCAACGGTCGTTTCGCTTTCGGTCTTTTCACGTATGAACTATCTCTTTTTGTTCCTTTTCGTTCACGACCCACATTTTTGTCACTCATATTAAAAATGAATTCCAATTATCACTGTTTTTAAGAACTATTCGTCGAGTATTTTGTAAAATTATACGCAAATGCAGAGTGTCGTGATAAATGCGTTCTTTTCAACAGTCTACCGTCGGTTTACTGACGCTACACGTGTTTTCTTCACATGTATATTAGAAGGGAAAGTCCCTTCTATACTTACTGCCGTTATACCTGCTCCCATACCCATAAATCACAGCGCGCGCCGGTAGCATAAAAGGCGCTCGGGATGTACCTGTGAGGCATCGCCGCAGAATGGAAAATTTGGACATTTAGACACTTTTGCCGGATTCTATCTTATGGTATATTATTTTTAAGACCCTAAAGCATTTTTTAAGCGAAAAATCAAATTTTTAGATTTTTTCAAAATTTTACTCAGATGTCCCCCCTTAAGTACAGTCTTAAGATGTCATGAACCAATCAGAAAGCTGTATTAGCGACCTTAAGACATTACTTAACATGGTCTTAAAATAAGAACTGGCCTATGTTCAATTTTCAAACAATGCACAAAATCGCCACTAGAGGGACACAACGAAATTCAATTACTTGTTTACAACACTTTACTGTGTTTAAAAAACCACATCGAATGGAATAAAAGGCGCAGTATAATTAGAAATTCTCAGCGAAAAATTTTTATCCTTTTCTCTAATAAAATAATGGGTTAGGCTTACTGGGAAAACCACTTAAAAAAAAATCGCACCCAGCTGGTGCTTATCTATCTATTTCAAGGTGGCGTGGAAACGATAGTTGTTTGTCCACGATGCTAGAAATAGGGTTCGAGACTTCGGATGGAGAAAGAATTAATCATTGCAATCGCAATGATCTGGAATTAACCAACCAGATCTTTTATTTCCTTCCTTTCAATGAAATTAAAGAACTCTGATTGGTTGATTTTCTTATGCTTCACATACGTTTTATACGTAAGAATGTAAGAGCTGTGGCGCTCCCCCCGGCTTTATTATACCGTGTGCACAGTTCAGACAGTACAAGAATAAAGGACAAACCTTGCACTACTTTACTTCATCCTTTCTCTTTCTCTCTCTCTTCAACATCTTAATTATTGTAGCGAATAGGCTAACATATTCGAATAAACGAAGCAACGAAATTAATTCGTCCACTACAGAGTAGGGCCACCAGAGACTCGAGAAGCTGTTTTGGCCGTGGCGTTTCGTCTCGGACCCACACTACTAGACTCATCAGGCGATGTAGTGTGAGCCCTGCCTTAGACGCCCTGAAATCAATTTAGGTTGTTATCCTATTTACAGGAAATTCGCGTGACTGCAGTATATATATATATATATACTTTCGCGAATCTGAGCAAGTCCCGTTGAACCTCTAGTGGCGAGTCGCCACATTATATATAATTATCTCATTTTAAGTGCAGAAATACAATGCTATAAAGAACAGGGAATCGATTGTGGATGTGGAAAGAAAATGAAAATTACAAGTTAGCAAAGTTACTAGGTATTGACCAATTCAATTATGAATACTCTAGTAAATTTGCTCACTTTTGTAATTTTCACCTCATTTGAAGATATACAATCAATCCTCAGAATTAGGTCTGTTCTTTTGGGTCTGTTTTCTGTGGCTGAACTAGTGTACACTTTTGGAACTTAAAGTGCGATAGATATACGTTTTGTGGCAACTCACTACAGTCTAGTGCAGGAACAGAAAATAGACTATTGGTTAAGCTCTTGCCGGTTCATGTTTTCTCTTTTTCTCTCCAACGTAGAGAGAAAAGGAAAAAAGCTGAACCGTGACAAGAAGTCCAGTTAAAAAGAATAGGCTGTTTGTTGTGCGTCACGTAACTTCACACAAGGTGCTTGCTGCTTAACGTAGGTTTTTTTGAAAAAGTTCAGCATACGATATAAGAAAAAAATAGCAAGGGTATAATTATTCATTAAGGAGAATTAACTATTTTGATAAAATGTCGACGAAGAGAAAAAGCGACACGCAAGTACCGGCCGAGGAGAGCGACTTGCTCTCGATCCGGCCTCTTGGTGCAGGCCAGGAAGTCGGCAGGTCATGTATTATGTTAGAATTTAAAGGGAAGAAAATTATGTTGGATTGTGGCATACATCCCGGGCTTTCGGGAATGGACGCTCTTCCGTTTGTCGACCTTGTCGAAGCCGATGAGATTGACCTGTTGCTGATCTCCCATTTTCACTTGGATCATTGCGGAGCATTACCCTGGTTTCTTTTAAAGACGAGCTTTAAAGGTCGCTGCTTTATGACGCATGCCACCAAGGCAATTTATCGCTGGTTACTATCAGACTACATCAAGGTGAGCAACATAGCCACTGAGCAGATGTTGTATACAGAATCCGATTTAGAAACCAGTATGGACAAAATAGAGACGATTAACTTCCACGAGGAGAAAGACATGTTCGGAATCAAGTTTTGGGCCTACAACGCGGGTCACGTGTTGGGTGCTGCTATGTTCATGATAGAGATTGCAGGCGTAAAGATTCTATATACGGGAGATTTTAGCCGGCAGGAGGACAGACATTTGATGGCCGCTGAGATCCCGAATATTCATCCCGACGTACTTATAACCGAGTCCACTTATGGCACTCACATTCACGAGAAGAGAGAGGATCGAGAAGGTAGATTCACGAATCTTGTGCACGAGATTGTCAACAGGGGTGGCAGATGCTTAATACCTGTATTTGCTCTGGGAAGAGCACAAGAACTTCTTCTTATTCTGGACGAGTATTGGAGTCAGCATTCAGAATTACATGAGATACCAATCTATTATGCTTCCTCATTGGCGAAGAAGTGTATGGCTGTTTATCAGACATATGTGAACGCCATGAACGACAAGATCAGGCGGCAGATAGCCATCAACAACCCTTTCGTATTCAAGCATATCTCCAATTTGAAGGGCATAGATCACTTTGAGGATATTGGTCCATGCGTGGTAATGGCTTCACCTGGTATGATGCAGAGTGGCTTGTCCAGAGAGTTATTCGAATCGTGGTGCACAGATGCCAAAAACGGAGTAATTATAGCTGGCTATTGTGTGGAGGGCACGCTAGCGAAGACTATCCTGTCGGAACCAGAGGAGATTACGACTATGTCAGGACAAAAGTTACCACTGAAGATGTCCGTTGATTATATTTCGTTCTCAGCGCACACTGATTATCAGCAAACGTCGGAATTTATACGTACTTTAAAACCGCCGCATGTAGTGCTGGTGCATGGAGAGCAGAATGAAATGGGTCGATTGAAAGCAGCATTACAACGAGAATACGAAGACGATCCCAATACAACCATGGAAATACATAATCCGCGAAATACAGTCGCGGTGGAACTCTACTTCAGAGGTGAGAAAACTGCCAAGGTGATGGGTACGTTGGCGATGGAAACTCCTAGTCCGGGACAGACACTATCCGGCGTGTTGGTCAAGAGGAACTTCAATTATCATATGTTAGCTCCATGCGATCTGTCAAAGTACACGGACATGAGTATGAGCCAAGTTATACAACGACAGAGCGTATACTTTTCTGCATCTTTACCTGTACTAAAGCACCTGCTGACACAGATAGCTGGTCACCTAGAGGTCGTAGATGATAAAAAACTGAGAATATTCAAGAACGTCGACGTCACAATTGATGGCAAGATCATCACGATGGAATGGATAGCGACGCCAGTGAATGACATGTATGCAGATTCCGTTCTCACCGCGATCCTGCAAGCCGAAATAATGGATCAGTCACCGAAGGTTTTGCCCGCACCCACCAAAATGGATAGGATGCACTTCAAGGAATGCCTTATAGAGATGCTGCAGGAGATGTTCGGCGAGGATTCTGTGCCCAAGATATTCAAAGGCGAGAAACTCTATGTCACAGTAGATGGTAAGAAGGCGCATATAGACTTGTTGAATTTGGATGTGACCAGTAAAGACGAGACTTTCCAGCAGATAGTTCAAACAGCGGTTACGAAATTGCATCAATCATTGGCGCCGCCTAGCGATGTAATATAGCGCAAAAGATGTTCATTAAAATAAATACCATTTTTGTACTGTTAATAATATATTTATTTTCTGTAAACAATTTTTTTATATTGTCTTGTATTTCCATACCTATGAATTTAATACTATATTTCGTTATAAATTATATTATCATATCATTAACGGTAATCATCACATAATTTAAAAACTATATATTGATGAAGACTAGTAATATTTCATATTATGTATTATATTTAATGGACGAAGTCTAGTACTAAATCTCATATTCTTTTAACAATGTTGATTTAATTTTCTATTGTTTTTTTTCCATAAAGAATAAAAGAAAATTAAGATAAAAAGAAGAGATATGTGTACATAGAGAAAAATATATTTAAATAACTTTTTTATTGAAGAAACTTGAATTATAATCTTTCTTTTTTGAGCTCCAAAGTAAGAAATATAAATATAAAAATTTATCAAACAAAAGATATTGCAATCCATCAAATATAAAACTATTTATATTATCTATTATATATATTAATTTCTATTATATATTATTAGTTTTTTCTTATAATAAAGAGATAAATAGAGCATAATAAAAGGATTGAGATAATAATTAAGAATATTTACAATTGGAAAAATATAAAAGATGTGAAAAAAGGTGAAATATTTTCACTGGAGTAGTACTTGATGAATTTTCTTTTACGAAATAGTATTTTACTTTTAAATACTAAACGCGATTCAATTAAGTTTTAATATCATAAAAATTTTTTTTAAATATGGAAAAATTTTTAAATTTATAAATATGATAATTAATGCTTCATCGAAAAATACTGGATTTCATTTTAACTATTTTCATTGATTCTAAATCTCTATGACTGATGAAAATAGTACAAATAATATAAGTTAAAATAAAAAATCAAGTACTTACAATTTCCACAAATATAAAAAATGTGTATAAATATTTGGTAAATCCTAACATGATCTATAAATATAATCTAATAATGATCAATTATTTAAAAGTGTATAAAAATAGCAATTAAAAATTAATGATTAACGCGCTATGATTAGATATGTCTGCTAAAATTGATAATCGTTTAAATCACCCCATGCAGGTCCAACTCTGATTTTTATTGGCAATGGCACAGTAAGTTGGCACACATTTTCCATTGATTCTCTGATTATAACAGCAACTTTCTTTAAATCTGCTAAGTTGATCTGAAATAATATTAAAAAATTGTCTTTTTTGTATTTGTAACATCTTATAAGTTGTTACAAAACTAAAAAAATTTAAATTTATAGTAAATATATAAAGAATTGTACTTACTTCGTATAATAATTCATCGTGTAACTGTAAAACTAAATAACCACCTCTTTGTTGTAAATTGCTTCGTAGTTTGCGAGTGGTATGCACCTCTGGAAATATTATAGCCGAATCCGGAAAGTAACATCTTATCTTGTCTTCTATACTTATCATGGCTTTCTTAACTATGTCTGCGGCGGAACCTTGTACCTTTGTATTTACACTTTGTCGTTCTGCTTGTGCTACAATTCAAATATACAATTTATTAAATCATAAAATGCAAACGACATCAATATATGATAATCAATATTTACCTCTCACAGATGATTTTGTATTACTTAAATCCGGAAGTTGTCTGCGTCTTCCAAGTAACGTTGTTACATATCCATCATGATGTGCTTCTTCTAATACGTCATTTAACCATTTATATATGCCAGGATATGCGCTCATAAAAGACTCTAAAAACTCTTGAGCTTCAGGTTCACTTATACATAGATTTTCGGCCAATGATTTCACCCCCATGCCATAAATCATACCGTAACATAATTGTTTGGTACGCTGACGCATTTCACTGGTTACCTAGATATTCGGGTAATTAATATAATTAATAAATAAATGACATGTACAGTATTTAAAGATAGCCGAATCATAAATAGTACAATACTAAATGCATATAGATTTTTGTGGTATGTTCATTATTATATCAGTGAGTACCTGTTCTTCTGCTACGTTATTCCATTTAGCAGCAATATTTTTAAAAATGTCACCCGGCTGTTTCATGATTTTGCACAATACCGAATCTTGTGAAAAATGAGTCAAGAGGCGTAATTCGAGTTGACAATAGTCAGCGGATAGCATTATGTTGCCTAGAGCTGGTACAAATGCCATCCTTACGCTCACAACAAGATTATTGTCTGCAAAACTAAAATCTTTTGGCACATTTTGCAAATTTGGTTCGTGCATCGAGACTCTTCCCGTTACTGTACAAGTAATACAATTACCACGAACACGAGAGTCTCCTTGGGCTAGATTAAGTAATGGATAAATCATCTGTAGGCAGAAACATCCGATAAAATATAATTTTATTAAATTTTTTTTCTATTATATCTTTTTT